TTAGCTAGTGAGAGAATAGAAATATTTCCTTGTCCCTGGAGTATGTCTTAACCATTCTCTTAACTTCTCTCTAAAGAACCAGTTTGGGCACACAACAAAATTTGATGAACTTGCTTTAAAACCATAAGACTTTATTTTCTTCTAATGGCCAATGCCACAATCCACCTCTATAAAGTTACTGAAGTTTCATTTCTGAAGGAAACAGCACCAGATTCGCTTAGCGTACACTTTAATAATGCCTGAGGCTCTTCTCCGATCAAATATCCCAGGTTGAGGAAGACTAATTTATAGACATTTAATTGCTTCTCAAGTACTATTTCTGAGATCAAAAGCACTTTAACTTTCTAAAGCACAAGGAGAAAAAAATTCTTAAACGTAAAATAATACATCATTCCATAAACCAAGGGGGAAAACCTCACACACATTTTCAGACACCTTATTTGACAAGTTACAGCCATAAGGGAATTTTTGTAGCTATTTAGTAAACACTGGAAGGAGGAATCTTAAATGAATGAAGAAGATCTGCGTTCTGTTGGCACCCACTAAACAGCTTCCTGAGCAGTCACACCAAAGAGTGCGATACCTACCCAGTTCCGCCATTGTCTGTCTTGGCTGTCATCTGATTACAAATCCGCTTCTCAAGCCAAACATTTGCAGTTTGCAGCCTGATCATTCAAAAAGCCAGGGACAAGGGTAACCAGACACTTGTGGGGAAAAATAAAGAAAATAAATTAGAAACAAATGGCTGCATCTCAACCCCAAGAGGATTAATCATTGTCTTCTTTTTTTATTGAAGTATAATTGACACACAACATTACATTAGTTTCAGGCATACAACATAGTGATCCAGCATTTATATACACTACGAAATGATCACCGTGACAAGTCTAGTAACCATCTGTCACCATACAATGTTATTACAATATTATTGACTATACTTCCCATGCTGTACATTACATCCCCATGACTTATTCATTTTATAACTGGAAGTTTGAACCTCTTAATACCCTTCACCTATTTCGCCCGTCCCCTACCCCCCTCCCTTCTGGTGACCACCAGTTTGTTCTCTGTATCTATGAGTCTGTTTCTGTTTTGTTTTGTTGGTCGTTTGTTTTGGTTTTTAGATTCCACATATGAGTGAAATCATATGGTATTTGTCTTTGTCTGACACGTCTTTAGCATAATACCTTCTAGGTCCCTCCATGTTGTCGCAAATGGCAAGATTTCATTCTTTTTTGTGGCTGATGCAAAAGAATGAAACTGTACCACTTTCTTACACCATATACAAAAATAAACTAACAATAGATTAAAGACTTAAATGTAAGACCTGAAACCATAAAACTCCTAGAAGAAAACATAGGCAGTAAACTCTTTGACACCAGTCTTGGCAATACTTTTTTGGATCTGCATCCTCAGGCAAAGGCAACAAAAGCAAAAATAAACAAATGGGACTACATCAAACTAAAAAACTTCACAGCAAAAGAAACCATCAACAAAACAAAAAGGCAACCTACTGAATGGGAGAAGATATTTGCAAACAATATATCCAATAAGGAGTTAATATCCGAAATGTATAAATAGCTCACACAACTCAATATCAAAAAAACCCAAACAATCCAATTAAAAAGTGGGCAGAGAACCTGAATAGACATTTTTTCCAAAGAAGATGTACATACAGATGGCCAACAGGCACAGGAAAAGACGTTCAACATCACTAACCATCAGGGAAATGCAAATGAAAACCACAATGAGATATCATATCACACCTGTGAGAATGGCTATCATCAAAAAGACAAGAAATAACAAGTGTTGGAGAGGATGTGGAGAAAAGGGAACCCTAATACAGTGTTGGTGGGAATGTAAATGGGTGCAGCCACTATGGAAAACAGTAGGGAGATTCCTCAAAAAATTAAAAATAGAACTACCATACGATCCAGCTATTCCACTGCTGGGTATTTATCCAAAGAATACAAAAACACTAATTCAAAAAGATACATGTATCCTGTGTTCACTGCAGCATTATTCACAATAGCCAAGACTTGGAAACAACCTAAGTGTCCATCGATGGACGAATGGATAAAGAAGATGTGGTATACACAATGAATCACTGTCTTTCTAAATTATCTACTTCCCCCAAGGCCAGATTGCCCACAATTTCTCCATTACCCCTAATTTCTCACTCCTTCTGTTATCCAAAGTAACCTAATACAATTCCCAGATCTGCTGCTGAGAGTTCTTAAATCCTGCTTTTTCTGGGTAGAGATAAGCAAGAAAGGAGGAGAGTGAAATGGTCAAGAGGTACCAACAGAAATAAACATATCGGTGCTTATAGATATTGCATACTAAATATGGTCCAGGAGAGGCCTCTGCTGGCTAGAAAGGATGTGGGAAGAAGGCTGGGAGCATTCCTAAGTCTGTGGACATCTTCTGCCTCATGCAAATGTCATATCATCCCAAATTCCTGGAAACACCTTACGGTGACACATGGCTATGTCCCTCTCAGGGGACTTCCACATCCGCTGTCTCATCTGAACTTCCCAACAAGCCCAGCAAGTAAGGCAGTCCTTATATGCCTGGTTAAGCACTGGGAAAATGAGCGTTCACAGGCACTGGAGGAGTTGTGTGACCAGTGGCACTGGAGCGTGACCTTTGCCGGAACTCTGCCCACCAGTTTGCTGGCCTCTCATGTGATAAGCTGATTTTTTTAGCTTCATAGAAAGAAACAGAAGCAAGAGATTAAATGCTGGGTGCAGAACTGATACTCAATAAGTATTGGTGTATCACTGTCGCTCCATTGATTTGAAATCTTATTTCTCAGCCCACTGGTAAAACACATACAGGGGCCATGTGAGGAACAAGAAGCATCGCTAGAGCACGGAGCGTGGGGTTGGAGGGAGAAGAACCCGCCCAGTGACACACGGGTGATTAAATGGGGGGTCTTTCAGCTGTAAGATGGCCGAGGAAGTGGATGCCACCCCACGGCACGGCCAGGCGGGCACTCTTTACAACCACTCCATATTTTAAACGCGTCATGCCTCCTCTGCTCCACCTGTCTGGGGAGGGAGGAAACTCTTTTTACTAAAATCTAGTATTTGCATGACTTAATTTCCTGAATTCTCCACGAAACTCATTTCATCGGAGCACAGCTTATGAGAAAATTTAGTCACTTCTTTCAGCTCTATTTTCTGCCACTCATGTCTCCCTCTCAGGTCACAGCACAGAGGAGAAAGCACCCCGAGGAAGAGATTCACTCCATGATTGACAGGAGGGAGGAAAAAGATAAATTTCAAATGGCGAGAAAAAGACACCTGGTTCATTCCTAGGAAACACTGATCCCGTAGCACAACCGAAATACAGCTGGCAGGATTTGCAGCCTCGGCCGCTAACCCCGCCCCTGGAGCTGGAATGCGGGAATCAGGGTGGAGGGGGCGCCGCTGGCGGAGCCCCTCAGCAAGTCTGTGCCTAAGAGGCCCGACGCTCCCTCTCCTCAGCTGCAAAGCATCATCTTCCTCTTCATTTCTTGCCTGAAACCAAATTTACACTCAGAAATAGGTTCTCACAGTAGATTGCAACATCCTACAAAAAAAGAGTCGCATTTATTAATTCTGTAAATAATACTTTTCTTGGCTGAACACAAGCATAATCTCACTGATCCTCAAGCTTTCGTTGGTGTCTGTCTCAGCAGGCAGCCAGCGGCAGAACAGGATGGTTTCGCGTTTGGATTCCACCGGTGGGTTCCCGCCACTGCTGGACCACCTGGGAGTCCGCCTGGACACTACCCTGGGAGGAGTTACCAATTAAAGCTCCTGGAAAGTTCAGCTTAGACGATGTCTAATGAGCCTTCCATACTGTGCAAAAACCACAGAGCTAAACTAAAACACGCACACGTGCGCGCACACACACTTAAACCACCTAAGACCCTCTCTCATTTAACATGCTCGTCATTAAGAGGACAGTCCTGAAATACAGAGACTTGGGTTCTAGGCCCAGCTCAGGCAGCTCTCTTCATCCTTGTCACCTCCTTCCTCTTCTCTCCAGCCGCAGCGTATCCAAGGACCTGACCTACCGTCCTTGCTGAGCTTCCCTCCTCTGAGACCAGCCTGTGCTGTTCTTACCGTTTTCGTCTCATCAAAACCTGTGCTTAGGCAATTAGCAGGATGGAAGGGCCAATAAATTAACTCCTATGAAAGCTAAAATGACTGACAGCTGCACACGGGGCACGGGGCATTGCCAAATTCCTAAACTTGAAGAGCAGTAGTCTAGACTAGCAGCATCTAGTCTGGGCCTCTCGGAGAAGAAAACTGAGGCCCAGCGGCGTGAAGTGACCCACCGGGTAATGGGGTGGGATGAGAACCCAGATGTCCTGTCCTTGACGCCTCACCTCTCCCATTCTCCCTGGGCGCCCTTTGTGCTGGATGGTAGTTACAGTTTTCCACAGAACAAACCTCAAGGCTCTGCTTCTCTGACAGTGGCATTTGGGACATCGTCAGAGAGGCCAAAGCAGCCTTCCCAGCGCCATCCAAAAAAAATCACACTTGTTTGTAAACCCAAACTTGAGCACGGACTCCAGTAGAAGAAGGACACAGACATGCTCTGCCCAGTTCTCTCTGCGGACATGGCCAGGAGGGAAGGCCCGCTCAGCCCTCGCCACCTTCCCTTCCCAGCTACGATCCGGGTGCCCTGCATAGGCACCCACCACCAATATGGGTCGAGTTGACTTCATCACTCCACATTATCAAGGCTAATACTGGCGCGCTTGAGGGACCTGTGGGGCTGAGTTTTAAAATAGTAAGGAAGCCCTAGAGAATTGTCATATCTCTAAGACTATGCGCTTGGGGCTATGAACCTCAGGAAGTCCATCAGACTTGCACGCTGCAAAAGACAAGAACAGGATTTGCCCCTGAAGACTTCAGTAACATCAGACTCAAAAGTCACATTCATTGAGTACCTGCTGTGTGGCAGACACCGATCCAAGTATCAGAGAAAGAAAGGGCCCTGAGTCACGGCTTGCAGCTTCCAATGGACTGAGACGGGGGGGGGGGGGGGGGGGGGGGGGGGGGGGGACGGGACACAGAGATTTACTGCATATGTTAAAAATAGGTACCTGAAAATAGCAATGAATGAAAAACATTCATTCAAATATCTTTCTGCCAAAACCAATTTTGGATGATTCTTTTAAACTTTAACCAATTGCGTTGAAATCTTGCAGACGCATCAAGTGGGATGTTCTTCTCTGTCCTGGCACATATTTCATTCTCAGAGTCTTCCTTTGAACAGTTGGAAGTGTCCCTTGGTCTCCTGAGCGCACTGGGTGGCCTTCTCTACTGCTTGCTGGAGTGAAGGGCAACTCCTCTTCGTCAGCCGTTTTGTGTTTGGGGACCGGAGGGCAGTCGTCAGTTCTGGAAGTACACCCAGATGGCCGCCCTGGGTGAAGGTGAGCAGGTGTATCCTGCCCCGGGAGCTCTTTCCGCTGCCCTGCGTCCTCCCACGCGGCAGTCAGAGGCGGCACTCGGGCTCTCGCGCAGCCCCCTCTAGCTCGGCGGCACCGAGACCAGCGCGAGCAGGGCGGACAGGCGCTCATGCCCAGCTCTTCCCAAGGCCCGAGGCAGCTGTGTTTCCAGTGTTCACACAAAAAGCGTGAACAGACCGTGCAGCGGCCACACTCTCGGTGTCTCTCACCCGCGCGGCCGGAACATGGAGACTCGCAGGGCCCCTGAGCTGAGCGCTCTCTGCAGGACACGGGCAGGTGTCCGCTCAACGGCGGAAGTGCGCCCTGTCCTGGGTGCGGGCGGCCCCTCAGCAGACGTACACAGGGGCGGCTAAGGAAGCCGGGGGTCCATCCCACATCCTGTGCACCGTACACCCACGTGCAAGAACAATCTAACATGCCCCCCAAAGCCCAGCTGTTTATTAGCCGTAATTTCTGCATTTGTCATTTCTCCTATGACACAACGAAGTGTGACATCACAATGCATTAACTTTATTAAAGAGGTTTGGAGAAGTTAAACTGATGTCTCTCTATTGATGACATGCATAACAGATGCCTCTTTTATCCAAGCAGAAAAACAAAACCAAAAACCCTCATAACAATTCACGAGAAAACACTAAAACGTGAGTGAGCTCTGCCAATGTGAGAGAACACATGGCTTGCCCCCAAGCACACACTCTGGTGAGGAGACCCTGGAGGCCGAGGGAGAGCCATAGGTCACCTCCTCTGCACTAGGTCCGGGAGCTCCGTGCGCGTGCACGCCAGGCGCGGCTCCAGCGGCGAGCCCGGGACCTGAGCCAACTCCGTCTCCCGCAGTCGGGGGTCCAGGGGCGGCTCCCGCGGCCCACCCGTCCCCTGCCGGCTCGCCGCGCCACCTGCGGGCGCCCCCGGAAGCATCGTCGGGCGGGCGATGCGCTGTCACACGGGCCGGAGAGAGTCTGCCCCCGGTCGCCGCCGTCCCCTTGGGCCCTCCTCACACCCACTCGGACCTCCTGGTTCTCACGGAGGGGACACTGCCCGCGGGGTGGGGCCGGGCGGGGGGCGGCAGCG